AACTGAAAAGAAATTAAAAAAAGTCAAGTCAATTGACAAAAAAGAAGAAAAGAAGTTAAAAATTGAAAAAAAAACGAAGTCAAAGAAACAAAACCGATTGATTAAAAATATCAAGCTTTTTTTAAATAAAAAAAGGAACAAAGAGAGACCAAATTGCAAAAAAGACAATTCAACAAATTTGTTTATAAATTATATTTAATTACTGATAAATAGAATACTCCAATGTCTGATGATAAATTGATAACGCTTGACCGATTGAATGACGAGAGAATTGATAAATATATTGAAAGTATTCACTCTGATTTGAACAACAACGTCGAATGTTTTACATGCGTAGGCATCGAATTGATTACTCGTAGAGACGTTAAATATTTATTAAAATTTTGTATTGTTGGGATACCTATATATACACGGAAATCATTGGGCGTTGTTCTTGTTGTTAAACAAGCAATGGCTGGAGTGCTTTGTATTATTATTCTTTGCTGATCAATGTACAAGAAGACGATACGTTGTTAAATGACTTTTCAAAACAAAGATTGGAATTTATCAGAAGATCTTTTGGTGATACAAAGTTGTTAATATATCAAGCTATAAAACAAAGGGGGTCTTGGGAATGTGGTTATAGAATAATGTGGGTGTTGAACAAACTGGCAAAAGGTAACTCCCTTGAAAACTCTTTGATTTATGATGAAGTGGAATTTATGGAATTTGCTTTGTGGTTTGTAAAGTTTAGTTAATTGATGGTTTTAATCTAGTTTATTTGTAATTTGGGTTTTTTATGATTATTATTAAATAATAATTTAAATAACTAATGTTTATAATTCATAAATTGAAAATTTGGTAGTAAAAATAAAAAAATGTCCATATTTATTATAATAAAAAGAACAATTTCATCCCGTTAAACAAGGGCTTTATTGAGAACGATTGTTTTAGCCAATTAAAAGGCGATTTATAAAAATAAAAAACCCTTTTATTTGGCAATCAATAGAAAATTCATATTATTACTTTACTGCCTGTACACAATTAATAATACTTAAAAAACATAATTAATTATTTGAGTTTAAACAAACAAACATTTACAAATTATATTAATATTAAATAAATAAGATCATATTATTATCTATCATAATAATTATAATAGATTGTACAATATATACATATTAAATATATAATCACAATTTTTAAACCATGTTGATATAATCAAAAATATAACTAAAGTATTTGGAAACGATCATCATCGAGTAGCGATTAAGCTGAACTACCATTTGTATATTATTAAATTTTGTTGTTTATAATTATTAAATCATTGAGGTATAATTTTTATTGATAAAAAAATCGTCAGAAAAAAATTTAAAAATTAATTCAGGGTGTGCCAAAAAATGTAAATAATGGAGACTTTTCATGAACAATTTAAAACGAATATTTATTTTAGATAAAATACAGATATTCGAAAAATAGTCTGGCACAGAAATACCGACCGGCAAACCATAAATTTATAGTATATTATAGTTTTTAGTTTTTTGTCCTGTTTTTTCAAATTTTGCATTAAAAAACTATTAAATAGGTTTTAGAAATTATTTTTATAGTTTGCCGGTCGTTTTTTCTGTGCCGGTTGGTTTTTCAGGTATCTGTAGTACAGTAGGAGGAAAAAGTGGGATGCTGAGAAAAAGGCGGATGCTAATCTAAATATAAATTTATTTTAGTGTTTTTCATTTTATTAATTATTTAAATAATTATTAATATTAAAATTTATAGTAGTTATAAAAATAGTAATATAAGTGGGATGCAGGTCTTGAATTAAAACTAAATATAAACTATATTTTTTTAAAAATTTTAAACAAACTAATAAATGGAGTTGAAACTCAGAACTAATATTAATCAAATGGAACAATATCACCCGTTTGTGCTTTTAAAGAGATTATTTAAGTATTGGGTCTATTTTATTTATGAAATAGATATTTAATCATACGTCCACATCAACTAACACATAGAACAGAAAAAGTGGTGGAAAATTATAGTACTTCATGAGAACGATATGAGTAAACGAATTCAATTGACACTTCTACAAACTTTTAAAATATTATTTGGAAGAGGAAGTATAGTTTTATAATTCAAGGTGATGTCCAAGCTTACTTCTTCAAATCATTACAAAGAAAATGTTTTCATTGTGAAAACAGTGTTGTGTGTTGACTACAGAAAAAATGATTTTATTAAACTTGTTTAATTTCAACTCCTATTTATTTAGCATTACAGCTGATAATTTTTTATGATTGCTTATATCAATGCATATAATTATTTATTCATTGTGCTATATGGTTATGATTGTATTGAAAATGAATATTAAACATATAACTTATAACGTTTTGGTAAACTCGTCAATCGTCAAGTCAACATCAATATACATTTGGAAATTAACGAAGAAGAATTATCGAAAATGAAAGATATGAACATTCGATTGTTCAACAACTAAATGTTGTGGTTTTATTCTTATTGTTATAAAAATAAAAATACAGTAAATCAATCAAACTTTTAGAAGTGTTAAGAATATACTTTTTTGAACATTTTATTTTTTGTACATAAAATAACCAATAGTTACGAGCATCCTCTTTTTTCTAGCATCCCCTTATTTCCTTTTACTGTATAGTTGACTAAATAATAGTCAGAGACCAAATAATTGTAAGAAATAAGATAAATAGTTTTAAAACCATAATCAAGAACTATTTTTAAAAATAGAAATGGGTTTCTTAGCATTATTTGGTGTACCTTTTTTTCACTTTTTTAATTAGTCATTTACAAGGTAATTAACGGGAAATACATCCTTTTAAAATTATTTAGTCTCTGATAATTATTTGGTCAACTGTACAACTTAAATTCAAACTTTTGAATTATTCATAAAACATTTAATAACTTATAACTTAAAAATAATTTGTTTTCAATGAAGATTTATTTTCATTTGATAAAATATACAATTTAACTGTCCCGTTAAATTGTATATTCTATGATTATTTTTATCATTAAAATTAGTTGTAGACATCTCAAAAAAATTTGATCTGACTTTGTCATTAAACTGTGACTTGTTTCCGAAAGAATCAAGCAAGAGTGAACTTTTGTTCATTACAACTTAAAAAAAATAAATTTTTTACTGTAATTTATAACATTTTACTAGAGCCGTGGTTCCAGGGTGTCTAGCTTTTTTGAAATTAATTTAAAAAAATGTCTCATTTAAATTAAAATTGACTAATATTTATAGTTTTGCAAATTTTAATTTTTACCGTTTTTGAAGGAATGAACAATTAAAAAATCAAAAATATGAAGTTAAAGGGGTGTGAAAAAAGTTACACTCGTGGGTTAGTGTTTTTGAGTTTTTTTTATTTCTGTAAATAATCAAAAAAACAATTAATAAAAAATTTATTTTGTCTCTTTATTTGATAAATTTTAATTTTTTTTTGGTTGTTTAAACCTTATAGAACAGTTTTTTTAGTCACTTTTGGTCATCTCTTTATCATTCGACAAATCCGGCCTTTACTTTACATAAAAAACAATTTATTACTTTTAATAACAAACATGGGCATCTTGAACAAGTCAGAAATGCTCTTGTAAACCTTGTTTTTCGAATCAAAACAAAGAAAAGTTGAAATATAAATTATACAAAAAAAACCATAATCATATTATTATTTTTTTATTAAAATATTAGAAGCGGTTTTTACTAAAAATTTTCCACCTCTTTATATACCTTTGGGAGTCAATTTTTACAGCCCGAAATAGAACAAAATTTGAAAAAAATATAATTAGCGCAGTTCTGATTAAGACATTTTCCCCGATTTTGGTTTTAAGTTTTATGTAATTTTTGTTTGTTGAATAACAAAAAGAACGCTCTAGAGCTGCCACTTCATAACATTTTAAGGATAAATCGCGAGTGAAAAAAAACCGATCAATCAAATTCAATCTAGTCTATAAATAGTAACTATTATCAAAATTATAAAATTAAATATATTTTATTATTTGTTTAACAAGTTGTTTTTTTAAATAAATAAATTTATCAATCTATTGGAAACGTGTTTTATAGTTATAATGTGAAAGTCATTTATAACAATTGATTGTATTGATAATCGTTTATC